GACAGATAGACAGATAGATAGATAGATAGATAGATAGATAGACAGACAGACAGACAGACAGACAGACAGAAACAGATAAACAGATAGTCAGACATGTTGACTGTAAGAAAGAAGCTGTGCTGGAAATCAATGTATGGGAAAATGTCAATGTCTTGGCTCCTGTTTACTGTTTCTTTCTTCTCCTTCAGTGGGTCTCTTGGAGCCTCGTAACCTGCGTGTTTCTGATGAGTGGTACACTCGTTTCCGAGTGTCCTGGGATCCTGTACCTGCGCGGGTCAACGGTTATAATCTGGTCTATACCCCAGTGGGTAAGAGACAGTTCTAGATGATTTTACCATGTTGTCATAATCTGGACATCCTGTTGTAGGTTATTACATGCTGACACATGTTCTAGTAAGCTGTCCGGTGTGTTGTTGCAGGCACGGATAACACCATGGAAGTGTTTGTTGGAGATGTTACTACACACATCCTGCACAACCTCCAGCCTGGCACCACGTACGACCTGAAGGTTTACGCTCAGTATGACGCAGGCGTGAGCGGCGCTCTGGTCGGACAAGGAACCACCTGTACGTGCTCGTTTCTTTGACTGACAAATCGCACAGACATGTTTCAAGATTGTTTTAAAACACCTGCTTTAACTGTGGAATGTTGTTTGCCATTGCAGTGTACCTTAATGTGACTGACCTCACCACATACAATGTCGGCTATGACTCCTTCTGCATCAGATGGACGCCTCACCGAGCCGCCACCTCTTACAGGCTAAAACTCAATCCTTTCAATTGTAAGTTAATAGAATATGAAGAGACGCAAATTCATTAAACATAAATGCTGCATTTTACTCATGTTCCCCCTACAAGTGTTATACACTCAGAAATATTAAGGCCTTAATTTAGTATTTATGCATTTGAATTGCTTTTTTTTATCCATTATGCTGATATGATGCGTTTTTATCAGTCATGCATAAATGAAACAGGTCAGATTTCTGTAATAGTACTAATAAATTGAATGTGTTTAAATTATATTTATTATCAATAAATCCAATAAGTTTCAATCTCGTACATTTTAACTAATTGAATATTGTTGTTCCACAGCTAGTTGCATTTTAACCATGTTCATACTTTTTAATCGAATAAAAGTAATTGTTTTCACAATGAATAGATTTATGCTGATTCTAAACGATTAGAATTTTTAGTATTTTAATAATAATTGATATCCTGTTATAGTTTTTGTTCATATTTTGAATTCGATTTTTAAAATATATTTTGTTTTCATTTTAATTGTTTTATTGTAATATTTGTATTGATTATTTTATTTTATTTGTATTTATTATTTTATTTTAATATGTCTTATAGGTACATATGTCTCATGTAGCTTTTACGTTTTAGTTTATTTAGTTTTTTAAAAGTTTAAAAGTTTTTTTAATGGTTTTAGTTTTAATTTTACTTAACGCTAATACATTTCTTTTGAAAATATGATTATTTAAATAAAATCAAATAGTAAATACTTAATAAATAAATTGTGCACAGATTTGTTTTATTTTTAATTAATTATTTAATTAAATAATTTAGCATCACATTACACTTTAGTTGTTGTTGTTTTTAAGTTAGTTTAGTTTGTAATATGTTTGAAATTCTAATGCATGGAAATTTGAATGCAATTCAAATATATACATATTAATATTTGTATAAGCTTACGCTTCTCTCTTATCATTAGCGGCTAACCGTGGGGCTCAGGAGGTCACTATCACTGCCGCTGAGAGCCAGTACTGTTTTGATGGGCTGACGCCAGACGCGCTGTACAACGCCACAGTCTACACACAGACCCCCAACCAGGAGGGGCCCGGAGTCAGTGTCAAAGAGCGCACACGTAAGTCACGACGCATTCAGAAGAATTCAGTCCCACAGCTCTGATCACAGTTTTACTCATGGTCTCTTTGTCTGTTCTGTAGTGGTGAAGCCCACCGTAGCCCCAACACCACCTCCAACTCCTCCACCACCACCCACCATCCCTGCTGCACTCGAGGGTAAAGACACAAGAGCATTCACTTTTTCCAAATGCTTTTTACATTTTTAATTTGCTTCCCAGCTTTGCTGGTAACACATTAGTATGGGGACCAATTCTCACTATTAACTAATTCCTTATTAGCATGCCTATTATTAACATATTGTTGTTTATTAGTACTTATGAAGCACATTTTGTGCATGACCATACTCTACAGCCTTAACTTAACAACTACCTTACTAACTATTAGTAAGCAGAAAATTAGTAGTTAATTGAGGCAAAAGTCATAGTTCATGGTTTGTTAATAGCGAGAATTGGACCTAAAAATAAAGTGTGACCGCTTTGCTTCTTCCAAACAATGCAATCCTCTGAAACTTTTATTATGCTGTGTAAATAGTCACAGTAGAGCTGAATGGAATTTTAGGTCCAATAAACAAACACTCTTTAATGCTTAAGCGACTGAAATTTCAGTAACTAAAAGAACATTTGACAGGGGTGATAAGGTGTATTACTGTACCTGCATTGCTCATTACACTTTGTTTTGTAATGCCAGTGTGCAAAGGAGCCAAGGCTGACCTGGTGTTCCTGATCGACGGCTCGTGGAGCATTGGAGATGACAGCTTCATTAAAGTCCGTCAGTTTCTCTTCAGCATGATCGGAGCATTTGATGTCATCAACCGTGATGGCATGCAGGTAAACAACCTGTCTGTAGTCATGTGATTGACTGCATGTGCACGTCTGCCAGATAGTGCTGGGATTCATTTGCTCTTTTTTTTCTCCTTCTGTGAAACAGGTGTCTTTTGTGCAGTACAGTGATGAAGCTAAAACTGAGTTCAAACTGAACACCTACCACGACAAGGGAATGGTGCTGTCCGCCCTTCAGATGGTCAAATACAGAGGAGGAAACACCAAAACAGGTTTGTGAAACATTGTTTTTATGTTCCCTACCTAAATGTGTCAAAAGAAGAAACAAAATGGCTATGAAATTATACTTTGTTTGAATGCGTGTGAATGCTTTAGGTGCTGCGCTGAAGCATATCGGAGACAAAGTGTTCACATCAGACAGTGGTATGAGGAGAACCGTTCCCAAGGTTCTGGTCGTAGTAACTGACGGCCGTTCTCAAGATGATGTGAAGAAGAGTGCTGCTAAACTACAGCATGCAGGTAACACTGAGATCAAACATCACACTTTTATTTTGCTTGAAATGTGTTGTGAGTGTTTTGGGAAATAAAATAAAAAAACCTGGAAAAATTAAGAAATTGTTTACTGGACAGGCAATTTTTTTTAGTTTTCCAAATAAAGTTTAAAACTTTTTAAGACCTGCACAAATAAAATGAATACCATATTCCCATTTAGAGCAAACCCATACAATCTAAAAATAAATGATGTTGTATGTATTGATATGTATATTTTAGCACAAACCAATTTCAGTGCTTGTCATAAATGCGCAGCATTCATTGGTTGCGAACTGCTGCGAGGCTGTAGAAAGCACAACAGTGTCACATTTTTACGTTGAAACATGAAGTGCTCACATTTATTCAATGCTATCATTAGGCGCGTTTCCATTACATATTTGCGCAAAACTTATTTTATAAATGTCGATAAAAAAGTATTGCGAAATGACGGCGTTTCCATTAAGCAATGTTATGCGACTAAAACGTAACTTTTGCCATGGCAACGGATTTTGGTGGGATTTTGACGGATTTTGGCTATATTTATTCAAAGGAGGCGTATGCGTGTATCTTTACAGAAGCAGCACAGAGAGCCGCTTCAGAAACGTGTGTGGCGCGGCTGGAATAAACACAAGCATTGTGGCCTCAATCAGCTTCAGTGGCCGTATCAGAGCCACACTGCACCGCAGACGTGTGCAGTGTAAATTGTCTAAGCATTAATGTCAGGAAAGCCCCTTATACTGGAGAGCGGCCACATATGAAGTGTTTCTTGGAGGTTATAGTACATTGAAGAATGATCATATGACTTTTTACATACGCCATGTGACCTGTAAATGCGAAAAAAAAAACGTTTCCATTGCAGTTTTGCGAATTATTCCTTTTTCGCATTGCCTGAAAAACCACGTCATGCGAGCGTAAAAACTTTTTTGCGATATATGGGCGTTTTTGCGAAATTGACGCATTTCCATTAGGCGTATTTTCAATTTGCGCAATTTGAAGGGCAATGGAAACGCGCCTATTGTCTTTTGAAGTTTAATAGTCTTATTAGACTGTATTGCGATTCCTATTTTTCTTTCGGCAAATTTAAGACTTTTTTTAAATAACTTTTATACCATTTAAAATATTTAAGACTTGGCCTTAAATTCGGTCAAACTGAACTTAAGACATTTTAATGACTTTTTAGCATAAAGAAAATAAAACCTTTTTGGACCACGATTATGTTTTGTGTTTTTTCAATGGCTATTCTGTTGAAACTATGTCAATGACTGTATTATAAAAGAATCATTCTTTTTTGCATTAAAAATAAGCATTAATTATGACACATTGCAGATCTCAGTGGTCATGGAAATAGGCCTCATTTTCTTTATGCAACATATAATTGTTCATTTTTGGGTGAAATACGACCTGGATGAGTTCTTGACAGGTTTTGACAGGCGATGTATCTCAAATTACTTTAGACAAGTCACTCGACATGCTCCTCAAAGCCTCAGTGTTGTCTTTTCCACAGGCTTCAGTGTGTTTGTGGTGGGTGTCGCAGACGTAGACACCGCTGAACTCAGGAACATTGGAAGCAAGCCCAGCGAGAGACACGTCTTCATCGTTGATGACTTTGACGCGTTTACTAAGATCCAAGACAACCTCATTACATTCATCTGTGAAACGGCAACATCCAGTAGGACGTCATTCTTTGTAGTCTGCATTGCGTTGTTCGCTTTCTCGCTAACATGAAAGACAAGAGTCAAACTCTTTCCTGTATACTTTTACAGCTTGTCCTTTGATTTACCTCGACGGATTCACATCCCCAGGTCAGAGCTTGACTGAAGTCCATACCCGAAGACTTTCTATCATCATAGTCTTATTTTCCTCTGTCATTACACACTGTTATGCATCTCTTGATTGATGTTTTGATGAAAACTTACAGGCTTCAGGATGCTGGAAGCCTTTAACATCACTGACAAGACGTTTGCTGGCATGAACGGCGTCTCCATGGAGTCTGGCTCCTTCAACAGTTACATTGCATACAGACTCCATAAGGATGCATTCATTTCCCAGCCCACAAAGTAGGTTGAAGTGCAGTGCATGTGTTTTGCATGTTTTCTGAGCTGCTCCCCTACAGACTGTAATGGCAGGCAAGCGATCACAATTATTCTAACTGTCTTCAGAGCGCCTGAAGTCTCTTTAAGGAGCATTTCTTCTTGTTTGCTGTAGCAGCTTGTGTGAATGGGGTGTCAGATATTGCAGAAGTTTCCAGTGTGAACTCATAAAAACCTTCTCATGATTGACGTTTTCAAAAAGGAGAATACTTTTGAGAACAAAATTATGTAGTTTTATTTGGCCTGACTGAAGTGCAAAAGGGAAGTCCAAGCAAAAACCAATGCCAGCTGTTGCTTTGGTGGTAGAAATTCATCTCATAAAAATAGCTTTTTGCTATTTATAGTTATTGCAACAGTTTATTGCATTACATTATGGTGTATAACTATACCTGTATTACTCATTTGTAGTGTTATTTGCACAAAAGTAGTGCAAATCTACTTTGAATGACTAATTATTACATAAAAATGTTGCTTTTCTCAAATATGTTGTAGTGATTGCCTATACACACTTAGATCAAGAAGCGTACCTCAAATTGAGCCGACTAAAGATCTGGTCTGAAGGTCTCTGGCCAAAGCATGCTTGATTAATTGAACTATAATGATTTGTATTTGTGCGTGGGCAAGCAGCTGTTCAAATGGAAACATTTTGAGCACCAGAGGAGGGAAAATACTTCAATATGTTGCCATTACTCAAGGCTGCAAGTCTGTTGCATTTTTTTTTCCCGGAGGACGCTTCATGAATCTGTTCGGCACTTTTTGATTTATGTCTGGTTTCACTGCACAACAAATTAATCTGTTTGAAGCTTTTAATTATTCTCTTGTCATCAGACACATGCAACATTCCCACGAAACCCATCATGTGCGGGTCATATTTTGCATTATGACATGATTTTATGAACATTAATGATGAAGTTCTTTGCATTGATAAATGAGCTGTGTTTTTCTTTGAAGGGAAATCCATCCAGATGGTCTTCCTCCCGCATACACTCTGATTCTCCTCTTCCGTCTCCTCCCCGACACCGGCAAGGATGCATTTGATATTTGGCAGATATCAGATAAGAACAACAACCCTGAGGTCGGGCTCACCATTGACCGTAAGGACCATTCTCATCTTCCATGTGTCGTGTGTGTTTGTGTGTGCGTGCAGTAAACCTTGTGGTGTCTGCTAAAGTTTATTTAGAAACAGAAACCCTCTAAATGGGTTCCAGATTTCAAGCTTGCAGTGATTTATAGCAGTAATTATTCCGAAATGCACAATCAGCCCTTTTAGAGCATCAAGCTCAAATTTGAATGGAAATCCTTTGTTTTGTTGTTGTTGTTTTTTTTGGTCATTTTTGCCCGGGCGGTCAACACAGAGCCATCTGTAAGTGTGTGTTTTGTTCTCAGCCTCCAGTAGAATCATCTCATTCTACAATAAGGACTCCAGAGGTGAAATTCAGAAAGTCTCCTTTGATAACGACCGAGTGAAGAAAGTTTTCCACGGCAGTTTCCACAAGGTAGAATGATTTTCTTGACTACTTGGGCGTTCCAAAACAGTGTTTCAACAGTGATGCCATAGAAGAACCTTTCAGTGAACAGTTTTGAAAAGAACATTTTGAAATGTAAAGAACCTTTTTTCCACTATAAATATCCTTTTGTCCAATGAAAAGATTCCATGGATGTTAAAAGTTCTTAACGGAACCATCAATGCCAATAAAGAATCTTTAAGAGTGAATGACGCGTTAAATTCATAAAACTGCAAAAAATTGCTTGAAGACCTGAACCGGTTCCTTTAGATGTCAGTCTGTATTGCAGTCTTAACCAGATGTCTTTTGATTATAAATCGGCTGATGGATTTGAAATTGGAGCATCCTTTTGGAAATACTGCCAGATTCAACGTATTGAGAAAGGGATTGGATTTCTTTAGATGAATATTAGTCCCTGCAAAGTACTAAAGTTTGTTGGGTACAGCATAACGATTTTGGAAGAGACGGCTTGTGTTATAACTCTTGGCTGATAAATTTGAAATGTGTTTCCAACCGAAGACACGGTTTTACTTCTTGGAGGTCAATGAAAGATTTGCCACTGTTGAGTTTGCCTTTGGCTTTAAATTGAGATGTTTAACGGCCCATATGGTGCACGCAGAGCTTTCGCCTAAACACCCACCAGCCATCATTCTAGCTGCAGGTTTGTGCAAGAGCCGCTCATGGTGATGTGGTTCATGACAGCTGGAAACATCAATCATTACTATTGAACATGCTGTAAAAGAGGACGTTAATGATGTTATTTTTTTATAAAGGGTTTTGCTTTCTTTTTCTAAGCCCAGCGCACACGCAGAGTCTGTTTAAAGCTAAACATGTCATCATTTTGTCATGTTTGTCCCGAGTGACCGCTGGCATAGTTTAATTGCTAATGTAAAAAACGCCAGACAACAAGGAGACTGTAATTTATGCTTGCTGGGATTTGGCAGTTTTGGTCTAGTAAGTGCATGCTGGCAAATCAGATTTCAAGATGTGCTAATTTTACAACCACACATGAAAGATTTTCCCAGTCTGTGTGGGAAATTTGAAAGCGCAGTTTGAGCAATTGGGGTGAATCTCAGGAAGACCACCAGAAAGTCAAAGAAAAATAATTATAATGCTTAAAGAAAATGAAGCCTATTTCCACCCAATTTTCATTACTGTAATACTAAAAATGATGTATTATTTAAAGCATGTAAAAATCATTGTAGTATTTTTGGTACAAAATTCTATTTGTATTTTAATGTAAAAAATGATTGTTACTATATTATAGTAATGTACTATAATTGGAATCATTGGTATTAATAACAAACAAAAACATTTTGAATTTCTTTTGATTGTTTTCTTGAGATTCACCCATTGACAACATTACAGTGGCTTTAATCACAAAGTGGTGTCATGTAGTCTGGATTGTGACTGCGGGCCGATTTTTGGTCCAGGCTTCATTAAAAAAGCATTGGTTTGCCACTGTTGCCTACTGTATGTTCAGTAACCACTGGCATTGCTGGAGACGTGAACACAGAACAACAATTCTGAGCTAAGGTGGTGATTAGCTGACCACCTTGGTTACAAGATTACAGACTGGTTACATGAAAAGGAAACCTTTTAGGTTAAACAAACCTATCATGCTTTGGAGAGTTAGAAAGTTGTTTAAAGTGAAAGACTCAGGTTTGTTTGTCCTTACTAAAAGCAAGCATCACTATTACAGTTGCTCATACTTTGGGTTAGGGATTTGAACCAACTCTAACCATAAATATTCAATCGCACTGCTTACCTCACCATTTGCACTACAGACTTGAATGATACTTCAAATGATGTGGTTTATCTCTTTCTAAGTAAGTGGACTTATCATGCAATCATGAAAATGAACAAAAACTCCCACAGACTTGGCGGAACATGAGACCAGAATGTCATAGAGACTTGGGAGAGGACTCTATTGATTTGGGTCAGTAAGCAACACTTTAGCAACCACATTAGCAACAGCCTTGCATCAATGTGGAGAGTTTTGCATGGGAAATTTCATTGAGTGAAACTAATGAAATCTGTCAGGATCACTGGAAAGTCAACAAAAATAGTATTTCTTAAAGAAAGTGAAGCGTATTTGATACCTTGTTCAGCTTGAATGTTATTGACCAGAATCTGCACAGAATCCACTGCCAATTCAGATGAACACACATGGCCTGATGGATTTGTAGTTGATCATTTTTTTTAATAGTTAATAACAACCTACAAGCCATTATTATTTGAATTAAGACATGAGTGTCGACAAAAGTGTGTACACTGTGCCAGTTTAATGCTTAACAAGAGTGCTTAGAGAGCCTAGGGAAAAGAAAACAGCTATTAAATGGATTCTGTGGTCAGCCGCGCAATACAGAACACTGGCCCTTTCTTCATGTCATTTCCTTTCTTTTATAAAATCCCAGAGATTATGAATTTAGTAGCTAAAATCAATCCATGAATAAAAGCTTTCCGAGTTAGATTTAAAGGTCATGTCATGTGAATGGTTTGGAAGCACTGTTCACATGAAGCTTGTGTGAGACTCATAATTGCTTTTTAGTGTTTAAGGGATAGTTCACCCAAAAATGAAAATTCTGTCATTAATTACTCACCCTCATGTCGTTCTAAACTCGTAAGACCCGTTCATCTTCGGAACACAAATTAAGATGTTTTTGATGAATTCCGAGAGCTCTCTGACTCTCCCATAGACAGCAAGGATACTACCACGATCAAGGTCCAGAAACGTAGCAAGGACCTCATTAAAATAATCATGTGACATCAGGGGTTCAACCGTAATTTTACGAAGCTACGAGAATACTTTTTATGCGCAAAGAAAACAGAAATAACGACTTTATTCAACAATTCTTCTCCTCCGCGTCACCCCAGTGCCATTTTGGAGAGTATCCATTGAACGTAAATAACGTATGCAGCACCACACGGAAACGTTGTTTTCGTTCAGATCAAAGCATAAACAACGTAGACAACGTTTCCGCGTGGTGCTGCTGACAAAGAACAGCATACGTTGTTTATGTTCAGTGGATACTCTCCAAAATGGCGCCAAGGTGATGCGGAGAAGAATTGTTGAATAAAGTCGTTATTTGTGTTTTCTTTGCGCATAAAAAGTATTCTCGCAGCTTCGTAAAATTACAGTTGAACCACTGATGTCACATGGATTATTTTAACGATGTCCTTGCTACGTTTCTGGACCTTGATCGTGGTAGCATCCTTGCTGTCTATGGGAGGGTCAGAGAGCTCTCGAAATTCATCAAAAACATCTTAATTTGTGTTCCGAAGATGAACGAAGGTCTTTAAAACTTAATTAATTAAATTAGTTAATTAATTCTTAATTTAAAGCTGCAGTCTGTAACTGTTTTTTTTTTTTTGTTAAAAATGATCCAAAATCTATTTTTGGGCAAGTACATAACCAGCCAGTGTTCAAAACGATCTCCTTACCTTAGCCCAATTCACAACGGTAAGCTTGTAATAATGTTTTCTAATTTGAGTGGTACTTGTATTTTTTGTGGGAAATACAACCATTCGTCTTTGCATCATTACATCACGTCTGTAAACATAAAGAAGGCGTCCCGGCTAGTAGGGGCTAACAAGCATCCTCACGTGTGATATAGTAAGGCCATGTTGCCAAACTAAAAACGTGATACTCTGGTAAGCATGAAACTGTGACAATTCCTCAATTAAATTCAAGTCCTCGATTAAAAAAAAAAAAAAATTGATTACATTTTGCACATGTTGATTAACTAGAATGATTACCGGAAGTGGCACACTCCACAGACAAGTATCCACGATTCTTATTTTATTTTAGAAATTATTATTAGACCGTTTTCTAAGGCTGCACGAAATATTAAAACCATTAAAAAATCATAATAAAGCATATTGCTATTGTGAATTCACAAAAGCTGTGATTCAATTAAATAAATATATGCGCTGCAGGTTCAATATTTTAGCTTTATTTATATGTGAGTAGTTTACGGACGTGCATCTCAGAGCGGCTTCGTTCATAGTAAATGCTGCTCCAGACAAACTGTTATCAATTAAATGCGCGGACGTCTCAAACACCATCTTTATGCTGTGAGTCTGAGTTGCTTATTCTTCTGGGAATGCAATCTGCACCATTATACCTTTATAAGGTAAATAATTTAGAAGAATACATTGTCTTTCTAAATATGCTAACTGTTCATCATGACTTCAAATTAAAAGTTTAAACGCTCGCTCTGAGTTTGCATGTTTTGATGTCCACATGTTCTTGTTTAAGAAATGACAGTGGCTGTAGCATTTCTATCATAAAGCAGTGACCAAATATAAAAGATTAAGTGGACATTTGAATTAATGTTGTTTGGTCAATATTAAACAAGGATTAGAAAGTGTAAAGTGTAAAAAACATCGTCAGGCTGTTAGCGCCCTCTGCAGGCATTGGATATAATACATAATATACATAAATTATGATTATATTGTTTTATTACACTATGTATTTTAACTGTTTTGTTCAATAAAACCATATGATTACTTACTTTTTATATTTTATTTGAACCAATTATTATCGCCTCATTGCTATTACATATGTATTTTAAGTAGTGCTGTCAATTGATTAAAAAATAACTAATTAATCGCACATTTTTTCTGAAATTAATTCCACCCTACATTAAAGTTTTTAAATATACTTTTTATATTGCAATAATTTCACATTCAAATGAAATAAATTTCACATCTTCAAATTAATTTAGAAACAACATAAAGAGAGTATAAAATATATACTCTATGTTGTTTCTACATTAATTTGTTTAATGGCATCTTTTTTTATGACTGAAAGCCAGGATCACTGATACCAATACTACTGATGTCTCTATGAAATAGTTATTTTTTCCCTAATATTTAACCATTGACTATAGCCATTCAACATTACAGTATGATTGAGAGCTATCAATTTGAACATTTATTAGACTTTAAAAAAATAACAACTTCTAATTTAAGTGAACTTTAAAAAATCTTCATATAAATCCATTATAATACATGTCATATTTAGCTACATGTGCCCTTCAGCAAGTAGGAAATATACAGAAATTGAATAAAGTTATCAAACACTAAATTCTAAATTAAATATAAATGAATCCTTAAAGCAACAAAAGTTATTGATTTCCCTTTTTTCTTTTGTTCTTTGATTAACACATCACAGCAGCTGGTTATTAGGTTATTTGGCTGCTATTACTTTAAGAACTGCCACTGCTGAATGTGACGCGGATCTGACACGCATTCTTGTAGTTTTATTCGCGCTTTAATATGAAATGATACCGGCTACAGCGCACGCAGCCATATTTGTGCATGACACCGTAAAACTAGAACAATGAATTGCCTGTGTTAACACGCTAATTTTGACAGCACTAATTATAAGTCATTTTAAAATCTATTGTTCACTTAAGGCTATTTTTATTGCCACAAAAATTCTCTGATTACTCTATTAATCGTCAGAATAATTGACTGATTACCCGATACTCGATATTTTTACCAAAATAATCATTAGTAAATTGCATAGCACACACAAATACTGGCTAGATTGGAAAATTACTTTAAAAATAATATATTTTATAAATACCGGTTACTTTTAATATTAAATGTATTATATTTATAAATAATATATTCAATGTCTGTCATCTTGGATTTTTTTCCCCCACTGAGCAACAGCACACTGTAAAGAATAGTCATTTGTTTCATACAACTTTGCATTTTGCAGCATTTTACATACATTTCAGTCAGCTGCCAATTTAAAATTGTATTTTAAAACCACTTCCTGTCTAAAATTTGAATTTACTCCCTGAATTCATACAGTTGAGGGAATGGTGGGGGAAGATGGCCAGTCAAACATGCAACTATAAAATGGAGGCTGATAGATATAATGAAAGTCTGATAGGACAGAGGGGAAGACTAGAGCAGAGCAAAACGAAACCACATGGTGGGCATATATTTACACACCCACAGTAGCCAGAATGGGAGGATTCGAGAAAGTGTGAATGCACAGTACACCATACAACCGAACAAGTCAAAAGCATTGTTCTGTGGCCCTGTCTGTTATGACGCTTTACCCTCTCTGCATACACTTTCTGAATTGATAACTATTGCATTCTCAGCTTCCTACGAGCATTTGAACACACTGTTTGGATAAGCTTCTAAAGCTTTCCATCTAAAGCCAGAACTTCAGACCCCTTCTCCTTGTGGGAAGCCAAATGCCGTTTGCCAAAGATGTTGACGGTATTGTGGCAAGAAATAAGACCTTGCCTTTGGAGTGCTGATCTACAAAGTATGAATATCAGATGTATGAGCTGGTCAGACTTTTTGACTGAAAAAAGCAACTGCTCAAGTCGGGGGAACGAGCGCATTAGACGGTCAGCCGCAGAATGACATAATAGCAACATGTGGTGATGCTACATAAAGAAAACGTTGTATTCCCTCTAAAAAAAAGGTTGGAAAAAGCATTTCAGTGGTCGCATCCGCATGTAGAGTCTCATGGTGAATGCAAAGGGGAAATTACAGATGGTAAACCAGTTAATATTATCTGCTGACATGAAGATTTGTATTTGTATTCGGCGACTGGCATGTCTTTACATAATGAACTAATTAAACTCATTATAGTTAGCCAACAACTGTTATTGGAAGAACTGAGAGCGTAACTCTAAACATAGTTTACAGGCCGTAGGGTTAACTTTCTCAGGGATCATGGGAAAGGTTTCAAAAAGGATGGTTTTTGCGTATTTTTGTCAATCGGGCAGTTTCGTGAATCCCTTTCATGAAGATTTATGAAGCAAGCGAAGATGTCCAGAGTACTGAGTAATAATTTAACTGATGCTTGGATTGCACCACTGAGGGATTCGCTCTAATGCCTTTTTATTTTTGTAGCTTCACATTTCTATTTCACCGAAAAATGTCAAACTCAACATTGACTGCCAAGAGGTGGCTGAGAAAGAGATCAAAGAGGCCAACAACATATCCACAGATGGCTATGAAGTCCTTGGAAAAATGGCAAAGTCTGGCGGTTCAAGGAAGCAGTCAGCCACAGTAAGTACAGACTGCTCATTCCCTTCAATACACCAAAAGATCTGAACATGCACTAAATGATTAATCCAAGGAATCTACCCTGCCATTCCTTTTGGCCCCTCATACTCAATCATGTGCATGTCCTCCCACCCATTCATGCCTGAACGGATTCGATTCTGTCTGTATTGCTCCTCAAAACACCGTTGGGTGCATGTGGGCAGGTTTTTATATTTTCGAGTCCCGGCGCTCAATGCAAGCCATCTGTAACATCCGTTTGTGTTCCCATTTTTCTCTCCCTCAGTTCCAGCTCCAGATGTTTGATATTGTCTGCAGTTTGGGCTGGACAAGTCGAGACAAATGTTGTGATATTCCAGCAATGGTAAGCAGGGGTTGTGCATGGATTGTTATCTTACGGGGTGGGTTTTTGTCTACTGTTTGGTCAGTACGCTGAAGGCTTTCAGTGAAACCCGTGCTGAGAAAAAGTCATTGAGTTTTGCAGACTTCAAAAGATGCTTGTAATCAGAGAAGGGACACTCTCCAGCCCCTAAATACAGCTGTCAAGCTTTTGAGCAATTCCCAGTTGTGTTTCGATGTGACTTCCTTTTTCACGGCGATTGCCCTTTTCCTTAATGTGTCTTTAGGGAGTCCCTTTGTAGCAATATGTCACTGTCTTGTTCTAAAGCACAGTTCACAGGTTCATTTCCTTAAATAACATAACACATTAACACATGTTTCAGATTATGTTAGTGACACTGACATCACGTCAGACTATGTATTGAACATGATATTATGTTTACATTGTTGGAAAAGCACTTGATGGAAAATAAATTACTTACATAGTATTTATTCAAAAGTCAATTTTATCAACAATTGACCATAATTAAATTTGACCTTAATAGTAATGATAATATTTTAAATAATATGGCCTGAACTGGATAATATGGAAAAAATAGCTGGACTAAACATCAAAAAATGACATAAAGACATACATTTCTAGTAAATTTCACAAATAAATGACAAGTAACACTAACCTTCATGGTTTTTTGGTCTTCCATGAAACACGTGGACTTTTGTTTACCTTTAGCATTTGTCTTCACAGGAATTAAAGGGCTTAGCCAAACCCGTTCATTAGAAGGGAGTGTGCACATACTTTTGGCCATAGAGAGTAGCTAAAGGGCAGGTAGATGTACACCACTGTGGCCAGTGCAGCATTTAGTTTTTATCTTTACTTCAATTTACTTGACACTGCAAAAATCTGACAAATACATAATACCATAATGGTAACACATATGACACTGACATAATGCAATGTAAATTCATTTAACAACAAAAGATGAAACATGAAACCCTACATGAAAACCATCAAATGTGAGCCTTGTTTTCCCTTGTTCTTTTTCACTTCCAAAAACTGTACATTTAACGTTGTTTTACTATAAAATTGAATAAAATGTTGTATTAAAGCTACAGTATTACAGTAAAGCAGCTTACCTTTTACCAGTTAACAGGTTTAACCATCAAAATGACTTCATCATGCGAGCTGTCTTTATTATTGCAGTTCTTTCCCTTTAATAAATCTGTTTAGTCTTTAACATTTTCAGAAGGTTTGATTTATATCTCCATTTCTGTAGAGAGATGAAGCCAAATGTCCCGCTCTTCCTCACTCCTGCACATGTGCTCAGGACAGCGTTGGTCCTCCAGGCCCCGCGGGCCCTCCGGTAAGATCATTAGAGTCCCATGACATTTCCTCTGTCTCTGAAGTCATCGTGCTACCGCTGCAAATCTCACTTCTCATGACGAGGGCGAAAAGGTCCAGAGTTCAGGGATGGTGGGATTTTTTCCCCAGTGCTGTAATTTCAGTCCTGCTCTTTACATTAAGCACAGGAATATGATTATGGGGGCTCTTCTCTCCACACCATTATGCATGGATTGAACATCTGGGATTAGCGATGGTTAACAGCACAGCGTGAGCTAATGACTAGTGACTTACTCATGGACTTTAGGCAGAATGCGCTTAAAGGTCAGAAAGCAGAAGTGAAGACTGTCGGGGATGTGTGAATTTGGAAACACCAATCTCTTTAGAGCCATTTGACAGTTTGTCTTATAAAATAATGAATCCTCTGAAATTCTTTTTTTTGTTCTTTGTGTTTCCAGGGCAGCCCTGGTACAAAAGGCCCACGAGGTGAGAGGGGAGAGTCTGGCCCCACGGTAAGCTCATCTTCCTCCATCTCTAGTTTATAAATGACCTGCTGATGAATGCCAAATGGTCAGATAGAGAAGTAGATGTTGAACAGCTTCCTTCATCGATACCATCGAGAAACCTTTTCTCTCTGCGTTTCTTTCTAGAGTGCGGAAGCTGAATAATTTAACAGGACTTAAACCTGTTCATTGCAATTGCAGGGTTCAATGGGCCCACGTGGGGAGCAGGGTCTGCCAGGACAAATGGGACCACCAGGTCCACAGGGCCCTAATGGACTGTCTCTTCCTGGTGAACCAGTAAGTAAAGCACAAAACTCTGTCCATTGCCATTTGTCAAATTTGTATCGCCCCTTACAGAATATAATTAGTCATTATTGAGGCCTTTTCTTAAGCCTGAAATAGGGAAATAAATTTGAACCATTAAAAATGGTTTTAGTTAACTGAAATTAAGCTGAAATAAAATCAAATATAAATATTAGGTTAAACTTACAATTTTAAAACTTGATTGAAAATAAGAAATGAAAATTAGAACTGATAAAAAATGTTTAAGTACTAAAATGACAAAAATGAAAACCATATATCACAAACGCAAACCAAAACGAGTAAAATTTAAGCTAAAATGAAAAATACAAATATTAAAATAAAAGCTAATTCAAGCAAATATTAGTAAACAATGCTAAAATAACAATATTTTGAAAATCAGGAAATGCTTAACTTAAAAAAAAAAAATTATTCCATCTTAGGTGGTCATAATAAATATTATATGATTTTTTAAAATGTAAAAATGCACAGTTTTCTCCAAATATGCCAGTATTTTATGAACTGATTTGAATGCCAAATTAACACATTTAAAGGGGATGGGGGAGGGATTTAATGTTTTTAATACTAGCTATGTTACATGTACGTTCTATTTTTATGTTATTTTATATTTCTCTCATTTTTGCTTTTAAACAAGTTGTGGGACACCAGTTTCTACTCTATTCATGGAAAGTGTCTTCTATTTCACTTTCTTGGGACATTAAACTCCTGTACCTGTCTGGCTACAGTACTGTATAGTGCGGGTGTAATTTATGACTAAAAGCTTCAGACCCATTTATTTAACGGAGCCAGCGCTCAGTTGCCCCCTTACCCCTCATGCACATACAGCTGTCATGTAACAGAGGAATGAGTGTGAAAGCTTGCTTCATTTCTTCCGTTTTCAGGGGCGGCCTGGACCTAAGGGAGACTCCGGTGACCCAGGTTTACTTGGACAGCGGGTAAGTGCTTTTTTGTTTGAGCTGTTTTTAAGTACTTTTAAATTATGTTGTAATGGATTCTGGAAGGTTTCTGCAGTGTGGGATTTAGAAGATTTAATGTATCTATCAGATAAATGGTTTTATGATTACATTCATGCTTAAAAAACAATCAGCAAACACAACTCGTGTCCTCTTAAAGCACGCAGCTTTACAGCAGAATGATTGCTAACACCTTCATCATAACGTCATTTTAGTTTTGACTTCCAAAAGAAATACACAGACAGAAACACAAATGTCTGTACTTACCGCTGTACAGGATGAAGGCACTTTTACTTTGCAAGAAGTTTATTTGAACATGTATTCATATGGTTTAGTACAACATTCCTTCTCTTCCATGGAAAGGTTGAGTTTAGTCATATCCTGACTATATTTGAAAGTGCTCATGTTTAATCCACGAACAGCTAAATGGTTGTTTGATACAAAAACCCATATTTTGAAACAACGGATGACATTAAGAATTTTTCCTTCTTCCAAGGGCTCGATTGGCGCTCCAGGTCAGCTCGGCCCTGTTGGACCTTCTGGAGCAAGGGTAAGATATGTTTCTTAAGTGCACCTTGAACTGGTTTAAAAGTGCATGTTTTCAGTTTTAGCTTTGTTACCTGACTTGTCTCTTCTGTCTTGTTGGACCAATTCAGTGGGTTGTGTTGGGCCCATCTCAAGGGCGTCTTTAAACTTTCTCCATATTGAACGAATCTTTGCTAATGCTATTAGTTGTGCATCTTGTACAGTTCATGATGGCATATGTTTTTGTTCAGGGTCCACCAGGAAATGAAGGCCCGTCTGGACCAAGGGGTCCATCGGGACCAATGGTATGTAATGTGGAAGCTTTTGAGTATCTGATGAGTGTGAGACTGTCATGTCAGCTAATGTATCGGCAGTACAGCACATGCATCACATTTCCTGTTATTCCATAATACTGTCCACATTTCTTTTTCTTTTACAAATATGAATTACATTGGATTACATATTAAAGCATTTTAAATTATAGTAAATTATGCATGCATACAAGCAAACAAACCCAAACATTAACCGTATAGTAAGTGAATGTACTTAGTTAATATTGTTCAGTACTCATTTGTGTAATTAAACTATGACAGCATCACCTGGAGCTATTACTGAAGTTATTACCCAGTAGGAATTTAAATGTGCATGTGGTTTTTACCACATGTCTAATAGGACATGTACTGTTTATCAGGCAAATTATAGTTAACTAAAACTAAAAATTAAACCATTAAAAAAAGGTTACTTCAAGTAAATGTTGACATAAAAAGCTAATTCCAAAGGAAATATTCCTTGTTTTCATTTAGTTTAGCTTGATGTAGTAAAATAACTTAAATATATTTATATATTTAAAAATAAAATAACAATAAAAACAGAAAGTATAAAAATAAAAAAACGAATTCAAACTATGAATAAAAACTCAAATAGTATCTCAGTGATATTAAAATAACTGCTGTTTATTTCAAGACTACCTTGCTGCTGGTTCTCTGTGTTCATTATTGTGAATGAGCTGATATTGTGAGTTCAGGCTATTTGTCAGTATTTTATATGAGTAATGCTTAATGAGATGAATATTTGTAGGGACCACCAGGATCACCTGGAATGCCAGGAATTACAGGAAAATCAGGAAAACCTGGAGACTCTGGCCTCTCGGTATGTAAATTCGACTCATTTTAAATATCATAGGACTTGTTCTAAAGACATTTATAGAAATTGTACAAATTTCAATAGAAAATGAATATATGTGCCATTCAGCCTAACCAAACCTATGGTCACTAGCTATAGGTGATGTGATTTCTGACTCATCATTTCTTATCTGTCGATCGCAGGGACCTGTTGGCATGAAAGGAGAGAAGGGTGAAAGGGTATGTGTCGCTTTAATACAATTTTCATACTATTTGCATTGTACACCCAGAACAACCTAGCATACACTTACAATACCTTAGCAACTACCTTGCAACGCCCTAGTAACCATTACTAACCAGAACATTGCTGCTGAAAAATCCTTTTGCATGAGCAAGAACAATCTAGAATATTCTGTTTTCTGTTTTCCAGGGAGATACTGCGTCACAGAATATGATGCGCTCTGTAGCAAGACAAGTCTGCGAACAACTAGTCAGCAGTAAGGCACTTCAAAATAATAACAAAAAATATTCCAGTCACTGTTGCGTCAAGTTTTGTTCATGTTAAAACAGAAAATGTTTCATTTGCTTGTAGGACAAATGAGCAGGATCGACATGATGCTGAACCAGATCCCCAGTAACTACAGGAGTAATAGTCCCGGTGTAATCCTGTCAGATCGTAATACCGATCTGGTTTCGTCCATTAAAGTTAACCTTTTCAAATAACAATCACAGTGAATAAGAATCGGATTTTCTCCAGTCATTGTTAAAAAAACAAGCCAACAAACTAGGTAGTAATAGGTTAGCGACAGGGGAATCTTTCTGCCCCCACCTAAGCTCCGCCCACAGAAAATCGTCACAATATTTACTAACAGAAAAAGGGTCTATATGCATGACCAATCATTGTCTCCAATCACTGGCATCACTTCAGAGTATTCATGCAAAACCTTTGTAATAGTAAGATGTATTATATGTGGCTAGTGTTATGTTGTAATACTTAATGACAGCAGTTAATTAAAAAATATAGGAGGCTATCTTTACTTCAAGAAGTTGTGATTTTTAAGAAAATTATTTTCAAGAATTTTAATTCTTCAGTTTTGTCTTAATCTTAAAACCCCCCCTCTAAACATTGGCCATTTTTATGCTTGTTCAGAGTCACCAAAAAAAAAAGTCTTTAACAGGACAGATAAATGAAATCAGAAGCAGGTACATTCTTCCACTGTTATCGTGCCACATCTTTCTTCTGCAATTTGTTGCTGTTCAAGTCAAGTCACATTGCAATGTTGCAAATGTTAACAATGCAATAATGTTGCAAAACTCAGTAATTATGAAACAACTTAAATGTCATAGTCTTATGGTTCATAATAGTCTCATTGTTCAGTTTAATTTGGTTCAGTGTTGATGCAATTCCATTCAATGACAGTGTCAATGTTGTGACGTTCATGATTTATGAAATGAATTCAGTTCAAGTTAGAATAATCTTGTTCAGAATCACCAAAAAAAAAGTCTTTAACAGGACAGATAAATGAAATCAGAAGCAGGTACATTCTTCCACTGTTATCGTGCCACATCTTTCTTCTGCAATTTGTTGCTGTTCAAGTCAAGTCACATTGCAATGTTGCAAATGTTAACAATGCAATAATGTTGCAAAACTCAGTAATTATGAAACAACTTAAATGTCATAGTCTTATGGTTCATAATAGTCTCATTGTTCAGTTTAATTTAGTTCAGTGTTGATGCAATTCCATTCAATGACAGTGTCAATCTTTGAAACCCCTTGCCTGTTAGGGGCCAAAGCAGAAGTTGTCACAGAAGTTATAACAATAATAATCTGCACCCATTCCTCCTGATACATGAAAACCTGGAAACAATTCTGTTTTCAGTAAACAAGGCACTTCCATTATCATAAGAAGCAAAGCTGGCCAAAGTGGTAGTTTCCATGCTGAGCCCTGATCACAATCCCAAGTAATCCAGTTATTATTGGAGAGAATTTGTACAGACATGTTTCGCGTTCTGAGAGCAGTCTCTCCTGATTCACTCATCCCAGCGCAACACAAAGGCTCTGAATGAAGTACTGGCTCCATGGTAACTACAACAACACTCAGTTCAACAAACACAATTCTGCACTTTCTCCAGGGGATGCATTTAATTACTTTCCAATCTGCCAGTGTAAAACCACGCATTTCTAGGAGCTAGAAAACTATAAATAAGTGGAAACATCTCCCTGGTGCAAACAATGCCAAGACCTCTCTGTGAATGAGATACACAGCGATCGTATACGTACAGTAGGAGGAAGCTTGCGGTGACTCACTGTTTGTAGTTTGACTTGTGTTTTCTGCGGAGGCTTTATTGGCAACACATGTGCTGACTTCAGAGTGCACGAGAGTCGAGGGACAGCATTCCAGTTTGGTTTATACCGTCTAGACAGAAAAGGGTTGGGGGGGGGGTTGGGGGGTGGGGCAGAATTATCCCTTCTCCCTTTTAATTAAGCAGTCAAAATATTTAAATTACAGTGCTCGAAATCAATTTCCCCATCCGCAAAACCTAGAGGCGAAGTAAAGGATGCTTTCTTACACCTCCTCTCTTTCCAGGGCCACCGGGGCAGTCTCAGATAGGACCCCCTGGTCCCTCAGGCTCAGCGGGGCCCCGGGGCCCACCAGGGCAGCAGGGTGGACCCGGAGTCAGAGGACCACCAGGACCTCCAGGATACTGTGACTCCTCTCAGTGTGTAGGCATCCCTTACAATGGACAGGGTTACCCAGGTAAGCACAGTACAGTTGAGTGATTGTCTTGAGCTCTGTCCCAAAACCTAGTGAGCTGTCTAGTTGAGGTGTTTTGAGCTTCTAAATGAAACCCTCAAATAATTTGAAAACAACAAATAACATTGATTCCAATGGAATTTGATGTTAACATGTTGCTAAGCTAACAACACAAATATTGCGTAATACAGTGAACATTACCAAACTTTTTTTTTTAAACATTGTTTTTCACTTTGCTGAAATCTGGGGTAAGTTAGGAGAATGTGAACAATGTGTAATTATTTTTAAATTGTAACATAGGTGCATAAGACAATTTGTTATTTAGGGAAATAAATAGAAACATTTGCTTAATATATTCTATGACTTATATACAGGCATATTAATATATACATATTTAACGGCCCATATTTTAATTGAAGATATGTCTTAATAGATGGGATGTGTAGTAGGAATAGTATTTACTATTATGCACGATTTCTCAACCGATACCGCATATTGTTCAGAATTTGCCGATACCAATAGCTTGGATTTCTTAAAGGAAAAAAATGTCTCCCAACTAATGCTGTGAACTATACAGGGAACCCTCTCATTTGGTACATTACTATAATATTAAAGGAACACTCCACTATTTTTGAAAATAGGCTCATTTTCCAGCTCCTCTAGAGTTAAACAGTTGAGTTTTACCGTTTTCGAATCCATTCAGTCGATCTCCGGGTCTAGCGGTAGCACTTTTAGCTGTAGCTTAGCATAGATCATTGAATCTGATTAGACCTTTAGCATCTCGCTCAAAAATGACCAAAGAGTTTCGATATTTTTCCTATTTAAAACTTGACTCTTCTGTAGTTACATCGTGTACTAAGACCGACGGAAAATGAAAAGTTGCGATTTTCTAGGCCGATATGGCTAGGAACTATACTCTCATCCTGGCGTAATAATCAAGGAACTTTGCTGCCGTACCATGGGTGCAGCAGGCGCAATGATTCATTTTCGCACAGCTCCTGAAAATAGTCCCCAGCACGCTCCCTGTGCAAGCAAGTGCTCACGTTGGTTATGTTGACGGAAGCTGCGTAATATCATTGCGCCTGCTGCACCCATGGTACGGCAGCAACGTTCCTTCATTATTACGCCGGAATGAGAGTATAGTTCCTAGCCATATCGGCCTAGAAAATCGCAACTTTTCATTTTCTGTCGGTCTTAGTACACGATGTAACTACAGAAGAGTCAAGTTTTAAATAGGAAAAATATAGAAACTCTTTGGTAACGGTCTAATCAGATTCAATGATCTATGCTAAGCTACAGCTAAAAGTGCTACCGCCAGACCCGGAGATCGGCCGAATGGATTCGAAAACGGTAAAACTCAGCTGTTTAACTCTAGGGGAGCTGGAAAATGAACCTATTTTCAAAAATAGTGGAGTGTTCCTTTCATAGGAAATATTCCCTCAAGCGTGTTCAAATATTCAGTTGCTATTTATTTTCAGATATAAAAATCACACTCTTGTATTGGCCGATACCGATTATTGACCAAAAAATCCCAACTTAATAACAACATTAATAATTCAAATAGTTTTTTTAATTTTACTTAATGATGATTAGTTATGCACCGAAATGATTTTTTTTTACCAAAACACCAAAACCAAAATTGAAGTTTATTTAATATTTAATTAATCAACTTTATGTATTATCAACACAAAAATAAAAACTGAGTTTTGTATAAACATTTAAATTGCGCATAAGGCAGTTTGTATATCAACTTTCGGAAAATTCGTTGTATGTTGAAATATTAAACATAAATGGTGGCAATAACAATAACTTGTCTTCATGAAAAGCTTATACAAACAAACATTAAATAAGTAATATGACAAATAAACATATAATGTAATATAAGAGCGTAAACAGACAAAACAACCATTGATATTTAACGTAATACAATATCACAGATTACAAAGACACAAAATTAGATCAGTTAACCTAAAAACTGTTTTGACTGACCTCATGTGTATTTTAGTTAAGGCAGCATAATGCTGTCTAGCTAGGCAGCTCAGCAGGGTTTGGAACAGAGCTCTAGAGTAAGCGGCTAATCATATGATTGCTGTCTCTTTGCTTAACAATATAGCTAATCGATGAAGAATTGCATGTTTATAGTTTTGATGGTAGTCATTTTCCCACTGAGATGAACTAACACAATCTTTAACCCATTTCAGGTTTTGCGTAGTTTGCTATCTAGACTGCCTGATCCCTTGCACATCCCGTGTCAGCGAGATTAGCACTCGCTCTGAGCTAATAAGGATAACCACCATGGATATGATTGCTGAATATTTGCTGGCCAACTCTTAAAAAAACAAAAAAAACAATCAAACCAAAGAAAGGACTGGACTGCCACTAACACCAGCTGTGCGCTACTATATCATACTGGAGCCAGTGATGGTTACAGACCCGTGGCCCGTTTGCATCTAGAGCAGCAAGAAAGAGCTTCATTTCGCTGAGAACGCATGTGAAACTACTAACAGTGAGCGTTTATGTTAACAGTGTTCAACAGTGGTAGCTCTTTATGAGGGTGAGATGACTGTAAATAAACTAATTGTGCCTTGTAAATGTTAATCGATGATGCAGTGGGCTAAAGTTAACAGGTTAACAGCAGTGATCAAGCTTGCTCCTGATAAATTGCTTCTTGCTGATGTTTCATTTTCATTTGTGGTTTTCATCTTTGATGATACATGTAGGCAACGCTCAGGTTAAAAATGCAGTGTGTGCCATTAGTATATGCAACCATGAAGTTTTAGGTATATTTGCAGAGTGCTACAGTTTTCTTTCATTGTTTGATATTGTGATTTCTATAATTGTATGATACCTCACAGCAAGTTTTCACAAATGCATTCTTTTTATACACGTATGTTAGATTAGTGATAGTTTAAGGGGGGGAAATCCAACGCAAGGTTGTGGACAACCGCCAAATGGGTTTAGTTGTTGGTTAATATAGGAGTTTTTGTATTACTTTTTGTTAATTATTATTAACACTATGTATGAATGAAGAGTTGAAATGACATGCTGGAACACAAAAGCACATGCTCAGCTGGCCAAATAATATTTCCAAGCAGGCCCCTACCAGCCAGAACCTGACACCTTCGTAGTGCCCATGCCAGCCCAGCTGTCAGAAGATATCGAGACACAGTCACCAGGTTTACGAAACCAGCGTGGAAAAAGATCGCCATCAAGAAAGGAAGCTAAAAAAATTTAAACATAGAGTGAAAGTGTATCTTCTGTACTGTCAAAAACTGCATTTAAGTCCAAATCAAGCCTTGTTCATTGCACATTTAGCACAGTCGAGTGGATTTCCTCGTAAGAAACCTGTGTGTTTGCCGACGGTTCCACAATGTGTCTTTGCTTGTAACATAAAACTGCATTTTGCATTTGTAACAAACTCCTGTTCAGTACTATGTCCTATAAACACTACGAACTGATTCCTTGCACATTTGAAAGTTTGCAGAGTGTAAACGTGCTTGCTGCAGTGCAACGTGTTGTTGTTGTTGTTCTTTCTCTCTCAAGGGAAATGGCAAACGGTTCCCTTAATTCTTAGACCTGGCTTTTGTTTTGTTATCCTAATCCGAATATTTATCTGTTGTATACCAACTCACACCAAAAGAAGAATTGCATGCCTGTGTTGTATATTTAGTAAGGACGTTTACAATCAGAATATAGTTGTTTTTCCAGTGATATCAGTTGAAATGCAGTTGGAATTTGTTGCAAGTCTACGGACATAGAATAGTTTTTTTCATGTCTGAATTGCACATTGTGAATTCCACAGCCTTATGTTCTTATTTATTTCTGAATCAGAAGAGGCATTTTTCAATAAAACTACTGAAAATGTTTAATTGCTGTTGTCATTTGTTCTCTCGTCATTAGTACACTGCATTAAAAATTACATTCAGTTCCTAAACTCAGGATGCAGAATTGTGAATTGAAACAAAATAAAAAATTCTAAGAAAAGCACACAAACAGCCAAAAGTCTAGCTTTTAATAATCCAGTTCATTTTTATGTATGAAAAATTCATAGCCATAATCATAGTCAAATGGACCATCAAATTTTCTGATTCACAAAAATGATAAATATATTTATGCCCAGGATCAGAAGTTCTGTGTACATTTCAGTGTAACTGAAAAAAAAATGATAGCATAAACTGGTGTTTACCTAAATACGTTAATTTATACTGCCAAAACTATTCTTTATGGGTTAAATAAAGTACTTAAGCCTTGTTCAGACTGTCAGCCCAAATCCGATTTTTATGCAAATCCGATTTAAATCCGATCATATTTAGATAGTCTGAATGGCAACGAACTACATGAAATCCGATTTGTGCAAATCCGTTTCGAGCTACATTCGTATGTGGTTTGGAATCCTGTTCAAATCGTATTCCTGGAAATCCGTTTCAGTCAGATTTAGCGTAGCTTTTTCACGTTCTCACGCCAAGTAAAACGTAAACACGTCGGACATTTTTGTAGAAAACATAATAAATGACTTTGCAGAAACATGCTGTGTTGTTGCGAACTGTCAAAGTCAAGCGGAAAAAGACAATAAAGCTACTGCTAGTATACTCACCTCTTTGAGTGTTGAAATAAAGTCGCACATTCCAGCTTCCTGCGTTTCTGATGCTGCCTCATAAGATGAAATCCATAATAATAATAATAATAATCCAGCGCGACGGCAACATGCTGTCATGTTGTAAGCCAGTAATATATGTAGGCTATTGCAAACTGTATTGCTGTTATTGTTGTTTTTAGCATAGGCATAACAACGCAATGGCATTGACATAGTAACCAACGAACATTCAGTAAAACGAAAGAGCGCTTATGGACACACAAATCGGATATGAACAGTTGCGATACACTGTGTGGACAGTCAGTTATTCAAATCAGATTCCATCCGGATATGCACAAAATCGGATTTGGGCTGAGAGTCTGAACCAGGCTAAATAGCTCTTCAAGGTAACAGCTGCAGGTTACCACTTACAGTGACCTCTATACAGTGGGGGAACTTTTATTTCCAAAGAAAAGAAAAATGTGGAGGCGATCAGATGTTCTTGTAAATGCCAAAGACGCTCATTAAGATAAGTTTTGTTCTGCTACATTGGAACTGTACAAGTAATCATTGTAAGAAATCACCATTTGTGCTCTGAGATTTATTTGACACATTAAAAGCAAATCATTATTTGATATCTGATAGGAGGATATTTTGAGAAGGTTCTCCTCAAACATACTTCTGAACTGCTTGTCTGATTCAGTGGATATCAAGACTTGTCGATCAAAGGAACATGGAGGAGATCTGAATAAATGAAAAGAGGGGGCAAGCTGCCAAATGTCTGAAATGCTGGATTACATAACCCTCCGTTTCTGATATTATACTTGTTTAGACACTGTTAAATGCAGAATCTTTCATTTGTTTAGTATTTTCCCTTGAAATTTCAACTCTGATGCTGTTGTCCACCACAGGAGCAAATGTTTTCAAGCCATATTTTTAACCATGAAACATTACATCCAAACCACCATGGGTGTTTCTTAACCATAATTCCATTTTACTGACCTCTTCGTATATATAGTTTTTTCCAACATGAAAGTTCCAGCTTCTAGAATATCAACCTTTCTTATATTCAAGGAATGGTTAAGAGCCATCAGTCATTGAAAAGTATTTTTATAACCAGCCTATAACAAAACAACAGTAGTTAATAGGAAAGCCCAATAAAAAGCCGTCTATTAGCCATCTTATTCATACAGTTTTCACCAGAAACTCTAGAATCATCCTCAGTTTGTTGGCTTGTTCTAGCAGCTGTGAAGCCCCTCAAGGGCTCTCCTGTTTTCATGGTGTTACCTCGAATACATGTGCTCTCAATTAGAGCTGATTTTGTTTGCTGTTTCTCTGAGCTTGTTTTATGTGGGCTCTTTTCTTCCATCTTAAACCTAATCTGAAAAAGAAAATCCTTTAAAAGCATTTGCCACAAATGGTCAATACCTCTGTGCACTTCCTCATCTCTTTCATCTGTTTCAAAGGAAAACGCTTAACTTTGATCCTTTCACCTACTGCTTTTTTTTTTTGGATTCTGTCTAACTCATAAAATAAAAGCAGAGTACATTGCGTAATTATACTTTTAAAACCCAGATAGGAAATGTTTAGTCATTCAGGAGATTATGTCATAGAAGATGATTATCAAGTAAATTTTTCAATTACTGCAGCACGGTTTATGCATCCACACTATAGTACTATACATCCCATAACTGTGTGTTTAAGTTGCAGGATAATTGCGGGGTTCTATGTTCAAATGCAGAACAACATGCACGTGTAACACGTCTTTAGGCTAAATATATAGTTCAGTTGTGAAACTCTAGTCCTGTACATGCAATCTGCAAACAATCACATCATTTACTAAATGGCACAAGCTATTTAACCTCTGCTGATTCTGCTGCAAATGAAAACCAATGGTTTTCCTCTGAAACCCTCCACCTCCCCCAGCACCACCTGTCTAGATCTGCTATGGGACGTATGCCTTTACTTGCAGCTGTAGCATGTGAATAAGATCTAGTCCACAAAATGAAACGATGGCTCAGATGGAGAACAGCCTGGTGAAACATTTACTATAACACAGTGAAATCTGTGTATATTTATATCACATCAATAAATACATACATATATCAACCAATCAATCAATCAAAACATACTGCAGAATACAAGGCTACTTTTGAATGTCCACTTAATACAGTACATTATAAAATGTTGCAGATTTATATAGCTAATCAGAATCTGTGAAATTGTTAAATTATTGAATTATTATTTTTGCTGTACTAACGTTTTATTTCCAAGATGTACACTGAATAGTAAGGAAGTTCTATTAAAATACATAGTTAAAGCTTAATAAATGCTAAAAAAGATTCAATAAACTAAACATATGGTTCACTATTTTGTCTAATCACTATCATTATTGTCCACTATAACTATCATCACACAGGATAAAGGGCCCTTCTCCCTGAAAAGAAAAAAAAGTGTTTTTATTCAGAAATCCAAATATATACATTTATGAATAATTACAAAGAAATAGCAAATAACATATTGAATTAAACATGATGTAGAAAGACTGAAATAGAATTTTCTCGCTAAACTCTAATAATCTTTGTTCTGTTTATGACTTTTAAAAAAAGGGTTTACAGTGTGCAGCTTGAATGAATATTTAGGAGATTTGTGCTCAAAATAAACTGACTATTTTACAGTTTATTTTTCCATGTCTTTCTGTTTCAATAAAATATAATCAAAACATGTTGTGACAGCAATAATGTTTTTAGACTGTATATCCATATAGTGTTGCATTTGCATTGTGTGGTTTTAATAGAATAGAATAGAATAGAATACTACAAACCTCAGCTGCTTGAACAAATAGCAATAGCAGTGCCATGACATTGCACAGATAATTCATCCACAATCTAACACGTCTGCTGATGTTCTCCCAGTTGTGTTTCTCTGAGGGATGAACACTGCACAGAAACATGCTAGCACAAAATTATCCTTTTTCTAGGTGGGAGTTCAGTCAGTTTACACAAAAGGATATATTCCTGTCACAAAAGGATATATAATATTCCTAGCGTGTGTTTGAAATATAAAGTTTATTCCTCAGCCAAGATTTCGAAAGAAAATATGGTAACACTTTACGGTAAGGGTACATGAATTACCATGTTCATCTGCTTGCCTGTACAAAATGTGCATCATCAATAAAGTATATATATAGCCTACTGAATGTGGCCTTTTAATATCACTGTTAATAGTAATGTTAATACATTACTACTTAATACAAACTTTGTAAAAATAACAGGCGGTCAGTGGAGGAAAGTTTTGTTTTGATGTCACATGAAAACTATGAATTTATCGTGCAGATCAGTGATGATGACAGGTGAGTAATATGAACTGTTCTTCTTTATCTCTCCAGCAAATGGCAGTGTTGGTTATTACATGTGTGACGGCTGACATCAAAAAATGTGCATTAGTTTGCATTATATCCTCCTGACTACCAGGAAAAAAAACAGTTTTGTGAATTTAGTATTTTGTCATGTCATTACATTGTTTAGAGCATAAGAAAAAATTTGAAAAATAAGATTTTTGAAAAATAATATTTTATTCATAAGTTATGCCATGTCCTCTATAGAGGACATCGGGACTTTAAAAAGTCCTGTTTTAAAAAAAAAATAAAAATACAAAGACATCAATAGACATTAAAAGGCAAAAAACAGTGTGATGTCTGTTTTGATCACAAATCAATTTTAATTTATATAATGAAACTTTATATAAAGATGATTCTCAACTATGCTATGAAAGATACTTAAAAAAAAAAAAATGTTCTTTATGCAAAATGTGTGTAAAATGGCCATAAACGAGTTTTGCCATTATATTAAAACTGTGACATGTAATGTCTCAGAGAAATCGCTAAAACATAATGTCCTCTACAGTGGACAAAACTCCATAGCTGGTAGTCAGGAGGATATCTGCGCTGAAAATATTATCCAGATAATTTTCCCGGATCCACTCCGTGAAGAACTCGTGAAGGCACGCGCGCATTATTCAAACACACCTCACCAGAAACACGGCTTGTCACAATCTGTGACGAATGCAGGCGAGAGCCAATGAGCGTTCGATTATCCTGCCGTAAAAGCTGTCGTTTGAAGTGGCAACATTAGAATTTGTAAAGAGCGCTTCAGTCAGCGCTTTGCTGCTTGCGGTCACTGGACTCACTACTCGGGATGAAGAAGATTGCCGAATAAAGGCTTGGATTTGGGTCTGTTCCTAGCAGTCCTATGGATTCGGAAGATTTAGATTACAGCGCACTAATAAAATT